TCTTCTGGACTTGGTACCTCCATGTCCTAATCTTCTCAGGGGTTTGTAGGGTGAATTGGAGTCAATAGGTTACTAGGTTATATATTGGTTATGGTTTTATCATTGCCCTCATTTCATCTGCTGTTTCTCAAAATTTGTTTAAAGTCCCTATACTATACTATAAAATTTGTTTATAGTCTCCTCTTACATTCTGTCTTTGCAAGCTGCTGTATTTTGGATCTGAAACTCCCCCCAGAGACCCATGTATGAAAAACTTTGTTCCCAGCTTGGTGCTACTGGGAGGTGGTAGAACTGTTAAGTGGGGCCTTGTGGGTAGAAGTTAGGTCACTGGGAACATGCCCTTGAAGGGGACATTGGGATATCAACTCCATCTCTTCTCCCAGCTGCCACAACGTGAGCAGTTTCCTCTGCCATATGTTTCCACCATGATGTTCTGCCTCACCATAGGCCCAAAAGCAATGTCACCAAGTGACCATAGACTGAAAGCTTTGAAACCATGAGCCAAAATAATTCTTTCACCTTTTAAGTTGAAGTAGTTTAGATATTTATTACAGTAATTGAAACTTACTAACATATAGGTTTATATGTTTTGCTATTATTTTTATGTGTATACCTATGATTTTTTAAATTGGGTCTTAGAAAGGAGTAGCAATAAATGTGGTCAATCTGACACAAATCATCAGCACCAAGAATTAAATTTCTAGATAAAAATGCTTAATATGTTTTTACCAAACAATATTATGTTAAATGGTTACTAAAATGGATTTGTTGGATGCAGAATACTCAAAATTTAACATTTATAGGCAATCTTTCAGGATAAAATTGGTAGTAGCTGCTTTGCTGACAATGTTGTTACATCATTTAATACTGTTGGCCTTCATTTTCCTGACACCTGATACCTCCTTTGCTATAACACTCCTACTCCAGTGACTATCTTGTCCTTGTTCAGTCTTTTTAAATCTTACTTATCAAATTCTCCTGGACCCCTCCCCCACACCACTCCAAGGTTGTTACATATACTTACCTTCCTGTTCTTTCAAGTGCCACCTGAGTGCTGATGGCTTCCTAATGTGTACCTCTAACCCAGACCTCTTTCATGAGCTCCTCAGCAGAATTGGGTGGGAGTTTGAGTTTCCTTTTTCCACTGGTCATGTACAACTGCACTGTTTGGGGGGACTACATCATTAGACTCTGAAACAGGCATGGATCTTTTATTTTAAGATGTTTTATTATTTATGTTTTCAATAGACAGTCCAGTCAAATAATTCAAAATTCAAAAGCTATAAAGGATACAGTGTAAAGTTTCCAGTCCTATTCCTTGTCCTTTAGATGCCTGAAAGTTTTCCTCCTGGGATGTAACCCATGTTGTTGTTTTGTTATTTTTGGTGTTTTTACAAAGACACTTTATGTATACACAAGTAAAGACACTTTTATATATGTACCTTTCATCTCCGCCTTCAATCCCAAACTTGTTTCAAAAGACCCAACACTGATGCAATTGGAACCAAGATTTTCACAGTCAATATTTCAAACACTGAACTTTTCCCAGATAAAAACAAGATATCCTTCTAAGCACTCCTAAAGACAGAAGGAGAAAGGGAGGGGAGGACTCAATAACAAAAGTGTTCTTGCTCCAACACTATAGAAATTGAAAGCAAGTCTCATTCTGATCTGTTGCTCTGATAAAAGACTTGTATGAAAAGGGATGTTGCTATATAGTGTTGAAAGAATTAAAAACTTTTGACTTGAATATTTTCTCATTTTGAGATATGCCAAAGAGAAGCTATAAAGTTCTTCCTTTAAGTGGAAAGGTGAAAGTATAATAAGATATTGAGGGAGAGAGAACAGACATTCACATAACTTTTATCATAGTACATTGGTATAGTTGTTCTATTTTTTATTAATCATTGTTAATTTCTGTTTAATTTATAAATCAAACTTTATTATAGGTATGTATACATAGCAAAGAAAGCACCTGAAACTATCTGCAGTTTCAGGCAATCACTGGGGGTCCTGGAAAGTATTCTCTATGGATGAAGGGGGCACTACTGTACTCTAGCCCTTGTGAAGCATAACTGCAGACAGTACATTGATTCCTGTTCCCATGAGATATTTGTTATCCCTGTGACCTCAGTCACAAACACCACATACTGTGGTCATATAAATTTTTTTCTCAAACTATAGGATATTCTGCCATATCTGTTCACATGCAAACACACAATTTCTTCACACAAAATTTGAACAAATACTCCCATTTCCCAATACCCCTAACCTTGGCTATCACTTATTTAGCTCATCTTTTATGAGGTCAGGTTTCTCTAAGCAGCCTTCTATAACACAACTAGACTAGTATTTTTCCTTTATGCCAAACAAATATAATAGCTTTACACATTCTAATTGTGTCTCCATAACTAGAATATGAGTTCTTTTGAGAGCAGAGTGACCATTTAGTTTGCCTTTGTTTCCCCAGAGCCTTTGCCCAGTACCTGGCACAGAACAATTTAATACACACCATTGTTTTTATCAAAGTTCTGTTGTTAGATTCTCAATAACTAATAAACTTATAGCTTTCCATTACTACCCCTCTTCCAAAAGACCCACTAATAGCATCTGAGGTATGCTATAGTAATATAAAAAGACAAAGCTTCCATGGATTTCATAAGATTTTTCTCAGCTCAGAATGTCCTTTTTATCTCAGACTCCCAACTTCCTTCAAGAAAGAAGTAGGGAGTGTCAAGTCAAAGGTAACTGCACTAGTTCAGTCCAGAAAGGATATTTACCTGGACTAAGAAGTAGTGGTGGAATAAGAGGTAGTGATGAACTGTGGAGACGGAACAGACACGTGAGGATATGGATAGGAGATAAGGGAAGCAAATAAGGAATGACTTACAGGCTTTCTTTCTGACCAATTGAAAAATATTTTTCATTCAAGTTGATGGGAAAGAATGGAGACGCTAATTAAAAGGCAGACTAATCATTCATGAACTAAAAAATCAGATTTATTCATTTCAATTTTGCTATGTATTGATATGCTTTTTATTTTTTGGTGGTATGGGGGATGACATTTAAAATTATTTTATCATTTTAACCATTTTAAGGGTAATGTTCAGTTACATTAAGTGTGTTCACATTGTTTTATAATCACCACCACCATCCATCTCCATTTTCCCTAATATTCCTTACCCACTAAATAATAACCCCACAGTCCTATAGTCACCATTCTTTGTCTCTAAGAATTTACCTACTATAGGTGCCTCATGTAATTGGAATCATATGGTATTTGTCATTTTGTGATTGACTTATTCATTTGGCATAATGTCCTCAGGTTTTATTCATGATGCAGCATATGTAAGATTTTCCTTCCTTTTTAAGGTGGAATAATATTCTACTGTATATGTATATACCACATTTTATTTATCTATTCATCCTTTGATGGATACATATGTTGCTTCTCTATCTTTTGGCTATTGTGAATAATGTTGCTAAGAACCTTGGTTCATATTTGTTCAAGTCCTTGCTCCAATTGTTTTTGGGCATATATTCTGAAGTAGAACTTCTAGATTATATAGTAATTCTATGTTTAAATTTTTGAGGAAGCATTATACTCTTTTCCATAGCAGCTACATCATTTTATGGTCCTACCTGCAGGGCACAAAAGTTCCAATTTCCTGTCTCAGTTTCCTTCCCAACACCTGTTATTTTGTTTTCTTCTACTTTTTCTCTTTAAAATAATTGCCATCTTAATGGGCATAAAGTGGTATCTTGTGGTTTTGATTTGCATTTCTGTAATGATTAGTGACGTTTGACATCTTTTCATGTGATTATTGGCCATTTGTGTATTTTCTTTGGAGAAATGTCTATTCAAGTTCTTTGTGACTTGAGCTCTTTGTTTCTTTTGTTATTGAATTTGGAACAGTACTGGATATACAAGAGGTGTCCATGGTGTGAGAATGTGTTTTACAGTGCTATGAGTATACTAGGAACCTTGGAAAAAGCAGTAGAAGGAAGTGAGGGTGTTAAAGAAAATTTTTAAAAACTTCACACACACACACACACACACACACACACACACACACACACACACACACACTCCTACCCACCCACCCACCCACCCAAAATTAAAGTGTTGCCTTTAGGGAAGATTCAAGAAAGCACACTCTGTTAGGAGTCAAGGTTATTTTAGTATTGAAATTTGTCAACATTATTAAGATTAAATAAGCATTGATGAGCTATCCTTTGAACCTAAATTATTTAAGAATACTACTTATATTAAAATAAAAAGCCCTGTATTATAATCTAATTTATAGCCAACTTTTTGGTATATAATTCATATATAAGCTGATGGCTGTGGACAAACATTAAACTCAGAAAGTATGCTGCTTGCACTAATGGATAACAAAACAAATTATTCATATAATACTTTAAATTGGAAATTTAATAAATTTAAATTCCCCAAATTGATTTACATGAATCACTTGTGGGATACCATTATAAGAAAATACATATGACACAAGCTACGGAACCAATACTTAATCATAATATAATTGATAGAAATGTGAAAACAAGCTGTTATCTATAAATAAGGACAAGCATTGAGGAAAAGAAAAGAATATATAGAAATCTGGGCTGTTAAATGAAGCAGTTAGAGAAAATAGTATTATTGAAAACTGGTAATAGATAACTAATCTCCAAAAGTAATATCAGGTTTAAATTACCAAAATTTAAAATTTATTTTTTGTGGTACTGGGGATTGAACCCAGGGGTGCTCTACTACTGAGCCACATCCCAAGCTAGTTTTGGTTTTTATTTTGAGACAGGGTCTTGCAAAGTTGCCCATGAGGGCCTCAAACTTGTGATCCTCCCACCTTAGCCTCTTGAATTCCTAGAATTATAGGTGTGCATCACTATGCTTGGCTAAATTTTATTATTCTGAAAGTAGCCATTTTATTTAATTCACAGAAAATTGACAAACTCTTGGATTCTGAATTTTTGGTAAAATGTTAAAAGACCAAGGTTAAAAAACCTATACTATAGATATCAAATGCAATTTATGTATTTTAGAACAAACATATTGTTTTGAAGTGTATTTTTGAATTCTACAATCTATATTCTCTCCACATAACCCACATCTAAGAAAACATACCATCCTCTAAAAGCAAAACAAAACAGAACTTTCATTAATTTGAAACTAAAGTGCAGCTCTCCACTTCTTGTTAGGATCCGTGTTGCTAACTGTGGAAAGAAAATCAGGGTAAAAATTTAAGAAGGTAAGTAAATTCACTGAATTTTATTTGTGGCTTGAAAAAGCCCTCAATCTTAAGTAAGTTCATTGCTCAATATAAGTTTGAAAAATTTTTTTTAGTTGTAGATGGACATAATATCTTTACTCTATTTACATATTTTTATGTGGGGCTAAGGATCGAACCCAGTGCCTCACATGTGCTAGGCAAGTGCTCTACGCCCAAGCCCCTCAATATTCAGGCTTTGAAAATCTTTTGATTTTAAGGATTAAACTTCAATAAAGATTATTGATTTGAGAACTTATCCTAACACTAGTAAACAATCACAGAATTACTACTATGGTATCTTTGAGTTCACTACATTCACTGTTGCTTAACCTTTCCCTGGTCCCCAATCTTCCACATGCAGAATTCTTCATGGTCTTGGGGTTTGGGAGAAGAGAAGCTACCCTCTTGATGTACTACTCTTTTTTTTTTTTAATATTTTTTTATTTCTTAGTTCTCGGCGGACACAACATCTTTGTTGGTATGTGGTGCTGGGGATCGAACCTGGGCCTGCACGCATGCCAGAGGAGTGGGCTACCGCCTGAGCCACATTCCCAGTCCCTTGATGTACTACTCTTAAGTGTCATTCTGATGGGTGAAGACTGGAACACTATTCGAGATTCTAATTCCTGTGGGAGCTTCTGGCTCCAATTTGTAGCCAACTTGCCATGTGCTGCCAACTTTCCTAGTGCCTGTCTTTCCACCTTAACATGTTATTCAAGGGAAAACTCTCATGGGTGCTGTTTTCCTAAAAGGAAACTAGTGCATCTGTAGAAATATGTTAAATGCAGATAGTAAAAAAGTTAAAATTTGGAAATATACTTACATATTTTCCCTTCTTTTTCTAGTTTTTTCAAATGAAGCAAGGTGTTACGTTCAGCCATTTTATGTAAATTCTCAGGAATATTCTAAAAGAACAAGGGTGAAGGAAAAACTTTTTCTTTTTTTTAAGAACACCTTTTTTTGGAAAAATTTAAAGTAAAACAAAATACAACATAAAAAGTTTAAGTTAACACATTTTTACATAGTTATAACCTATAAAATTTCACTTTGTAAATGCCTTGCTTTAGGATACTATATTCCTATATATTTCTATGGATAAAATAGACTAAGGCCTAATAGTAGCAGTGTCTGTTTTGTTCACTACTGAATATCAGTGTTCAGCTTACTGACACAGTAGGTATTCATTTATATTTTATGAATGAAGGAATAAATAAATGCAAAAATTCTCAGTTTTTAGACAGTTCGCCCTATAGTTTATTTATTAGGTTACATGATAATATCTTTATTCTTTATGACATAATTTTCCCTTATTTTTGCCAAAATAATAATGACAACTGTTACTTGAATGAAAATCAAAGCAAATATTCTTTTTATTCTTTAGATACAGAATATAGTTCTAAAGCCAAGCTTCTTGTCTAAATTCACTATCTCAATTTCTCAATTCCCTGAAAATATTTTGCCAAGATCATTAAATAACTTCAGTCAAAATGCAATGGATTCTTTGCATACTCTTTGTACCTGAAATCAATCAGCTACTCTCTCTCTTTTGATGATCTCTTTTCTCATTTATTCCACTGCTGTAATAATCAGTCTTCATCCTGGATATTTTTCCTTAGACTTCTCTTTAGTATTGATGTTTACAGTAAGTTGTACTATTGGTTCTTTTCTGTTTCATACTCATCAAATCACTACCCAACAATACAGGCACTGATTGGTCCCAATCTGAACATCTAACCTCTAACTCTCCCTGAGATCCAGTAACAGGTTATATATACCAATTTGAGTTTCTAGATTTCATCATGTGATTTCCCTACCTCAGATCCTTAATTGATTATTCCCAGATTACTGGCTAAAGACCAAATTTGTTTAGCTGGCAATGAGCCAGATTTGACTGTACCTCCTTTTCCTGCCTCAGTTCCTGGGACTCCTTTCCTATCCATCTATATATGCAACCTGTGCTTCAGTCATGTGGTTTCTTTTTGAGTTTTCAAAAACATAATGATCTTTAACTGTGTTTGAATGCAACCTTCCCTCTGTCTAGAGTAACTTTTTCTCTTCTCCCCTGATACAGAAAATATGTGCACCTTCTTCAAGGTTCCATAAGTTTCTAAAGGTTTTCCAGACAAGCATCATTAACCCTGAATTTTCACTAGGTAGAAATGATTTTTATTTTTGTGCCTTGACAGATTTGGTATAGGACTTGGAGGAAGTTTGGTGTAGAAAAATACAAGATCTGAATATTCAAAAATGTCTAAAGTCTAAAACCTTTTGTGCATCCGCACTCAGGAAGTTTCAGATTTTGGAGCATTATTAGATTAGGGATGCTCAAGCTGTATAAAGCATTTAGGATAGTGTCCACGAGCATGCAGTCATGTCTCAATAAATGCACACTAACTATTATGATAAAGCCAGTATTAYGAGTACCCGTTGAACATGTGTGTCTTCACTAAACCTCAAATCCCTAGAGGTTAGGGATCCACAGTCTTCTTTGTATCTCTGCACTTTCTTATAGTGTGTCATATAAAAGTGTTCAACAAATGCTGAATGAATATGTCACTCTAGAATACCTAATGCCATCCTATAATCATAAGATGTTTAACACTCACACAGGGAATACACTTCTGAATACACCTCTGAATGCAGAATTGACATTTGTTTAGGTCAGGGCAATTTCTTGATGACTCATTTGTAAGGGTTAGAAGTGTTTTTCTATCTGTACTTAGGTCAGAAAAAAATAAAAAGAAAAAAAACCCCATCCTTTATGTACCTATATATAGAGGTTACACTCTAGAATTTTGAGGAAATGAACTGTTTCATACAATTTAAATATTTACATTACTCTTTTGCAAATTAGTATTTTTTCCCTGCAGTGCTGGGTATAGAATTCAGAGTTTAGTACATGCTAAGCAAATGCTCTATCAGTGAGCTCTACCGACAGCTCCAGACAATGACATTTAAAAAAAATCTTAAGCTGTTTTAATCATTATCCCTCTCTTTTAGAACAAAACATGATGAGTATGAACTGTTTCTTGATGACTTAAGACTATAGGGACATTAGGTCCTTCCCTAATTCTAAATGGCTCCAGATTATATTTCTAAACTTATCTTTAGTAACCATCTCATATATTTTATGGCTGTATTTGTTGTGGAAATAAAATTCAGGTAAAAAATTTTTTGTCTCTTTTTGGTACTGGGAATTGAACCCAGGGGTGCTTTACCACTGGGCTACACCCCTCAGTTTTTTATTTTTATTTTTAAATTTTGAGACAGGGATTCATTAAGTTGCTTGCGGCCTTGTGAAGTTGTTAAGGTTGGTCTCAAACTTGTGATCCTCCTGCCTCAGCCTCCCGAGTTGCTGGGATTATAGGCATGCACCAAAGTATCCTGCAAACTTTGGTAATCTAACTCCAATGCCTATGTTCTTAACTGCTAAGCTATTTCTACCAACACAGCAGATATCTAAAGAACATTTGCTGAAAAACTAAAAATTATTTGATTGCCACATAATGCTATTTATTCAGTGATGGGCTCAGACATCACACTCGGAGGCATGGGGCTCTTTCACTATATATAAAATTATTCATATTTTTTGATGGGTATTTTTTTCCATTGTCAGCCATTGCTGTTATCTCAATATCTGTCTCTAGCAGATCACCCCACCTCCTCTGTTGCCAGTCAGAACACCATATGATCGCTAGAATAATACTTATCAATATAAAATGGATGCAGTTTCTCCTGCAGAGAAAAGTATATAAGGTTTAATTAAGATGGCTTAATAAAGTGCTTTTTGTTCACTATGGCCAGTTTTTGTTTGCTTGTTTGTTTGTTGGATGTTCTATTGCTCTCAAGTCTAGACAGGTGGCAGTACCTACAAAGTTAACAGACTTGTCCCGACCTGGGCTGTAGTAAATTTACCTACCATTTATAGTCCTTTTGTTTTTATTTTTTGCAGTGCTGGGTATAAAACTCAGGACTTCACATATTCTAGGCAAGCACTTTACCACCAAGGTATATCTCCAGCCCTATACAGTCTATTAAGTAGATTCTTTATTCTAAGAAATTTTTGTATGTACCAATAAGATAAATGAAAATTACCTTGTAGATAATTTTGACAAGATCAGTTACTGTAAATGCTTTTTCAAAATTATCACGAACTAATGTAAGAATTTGTTCTTCTCGTTTATTTCTGTGAGAAATATATTGTAGAATTGTAGCTTCAGCATTAGGGATTACTGGGCCATGTCCTGAATTAAAGTAATTATACAAATTACTCCACCATATAAAAAACATTAAGTACAACTGAAGTTACTTCATTCTATATAAAAATACTTCAGATGATATATTGGAAAAGCATACTAACTCTACAAATACATATTATTTGGAAAGCTCTACAAGTATAAGGTGTTAAAAATTATGTGCAATCCCAAACAGCCTTAGAGAATTATATCAAAATCTAATCTATTAGATATTATTAAAAATACAAAATAGATTTTAACAATAAAGTATAGCAACAAAAACAGCAACCATAATAACAACAACATGTAATATTTATAGAGTGCTCACTATGTGCCAGGCCCTGCTCTGCATGCTAAACATACATTATTTTTACAAGAACTCCATAAGGTAGGTATTTTTATTATCCCTTTGTGATAGCAGACACTGAGGCACAGGGAGGGTAGATAACCCACCCAGAATAAAAGAACTAAGAGAGTGGAGCTGGGATTATGATTTGGTAGTTTTTAACCACTCTGTGCTCATAACCACTATGATAAGCTTACTTATAAAAAAAGACTTATAAAAAGGGGGAATGTAAAAAGTGGATCAATGTAAGTGATCAATATCTATTAAACATTCACAAAACACTAGTAGCACTTTAAGAATATGTCTAGGCTAGTAGTTTAGAAATTTTGACCATAAAAATTAAATTGTACTGAATTTTAAATAATACAAATTTAATGTGTTATACAAGTCTGTAAAAGAGATGTTTCAAATATTTGGGAACAAAACATCCAGAAGCAGGCTAACCTGCTATGATGTAAAGACTACTGGGCTTTAGATAACATTCTATCACATATTAGCTGCGTGACTGCAAGGAAGTTTCCGAATCTCTGTTTCCTCAGCATTGTAATGGGTATACCATTACCTATTCCAAACAGTTTTTGTGAGGATGATAGCTAGAAAGGCCTCTGCATTGAACCTGATGCGTAGCAAGCTTTATTATTTGGTAACTATGGTTATAGAATATAACTTACCTGTGAACAATTGCTGTGCTAATAAGCCAGTTCACTGCATTTACTAAAGCAAACACTCTTAAAACCCTTTGTAGGCAACTTGGCTTCAAAGTGAGTATATCCAACATCTATTGTCTTCTCTTTAAAAATAGCTATGAAGTGTCTATTCATTTTAAATCATAACATTAATCTAAATGCCCATCTCCAGTGTATGTTTCCTATTCCCTCAGATTTAGGAATTAATGAGAGAATGTCAGCACACAGATCTTTCCATGGATATTTGGTTAGGAGCAAGTTAGATGGACTTGGAAAATTAAGTAACCTAATCCACTTTTTCTTCTCAGCTTTCTTATTGGGTTGTGCCTTTCTTAACTTTTAGGAGTGGAGGAGAGATTTATATTGCAGAGCAGTGCAGAGATTTCTGAGACACTAACAAGAAGTTTCTTCTTCTGGAGAATGGAAATAAAAATACCGTTTTACAGTTTCTACGGAAACTATTGATTTTTTAATATTGTGAGGTCAAATGTAATCCAAGGTTACAAAGCTACAATGTGATCCACAATAGAAATCAAATTAATAAAAATGATGGGAAGTTATGGTATAAAAAATATTCCTTTTCTAATGTAAGCTTATTTTGTTTTTAATTAACAGTTCTATCAACAGCTGTGTAGATGCTGAAAAATAATTCTCATAGATTTTTAACAGGTTATCAATGTAACTCTTGGCCTTCTCTTTAAATTTAACTATATGGCTAAATAAAACTTAGGAATATAATTTAAGGAAATAGTTTATATGTGTTTCTTCTATGCAAGCTAAAATGAGCCTTCATCATTTAATAAGAACAACTTTCTAGGTTAAAAAAAATACCCACCTGGATATATAATATTGGCTTTGATTTTCAATAACTCTTTCAGGGAGTTCATATAATCATAGAGGTCTTCAAATATAGTTGTTCCTTCCCCAAGAATGCAATCTCCAGAAAAGAGGGCATTTTCCTCTTCTAAGAGTAGAGCCATATGATCATCAGTGTGGCCAGGTGTGTATAGAACTCTTGTTGAAAAAAGAATAATAAATAATGAAATAACAAGTGTAAACTCCTGAGCTTAGACGAAATACTGGGAACTCAATTATTATCTGTCCTTACCTTTGTAAAAAACACAAATAAATTTAACAATGAATTAAAAAATTTATTTCTTGTGCCCACTGAAAATTATCAACAAATAATTCTTTATCTAAATCACATCTATGACTTTAAAGTGAAAATTTAATACTTTTCCCATATTTTTAAATTTTATAAATAATAAGTACAGATTATAACAAATTTGGAAAACAGAAAAATTAAGAACTTAAGGACATAAAAATCAGCAACATTTCTATTACTTTTGTTATTTAAAAACGTAATTGTTTTTGCCAACATGGTGATGCAGCTACTCAGAAGGCTGAGGCAAGAGGATCACAAGTTTGAGCCCAGTCTGGGCAACTTAGATCCTTTCTTTAAAAAAAAAAAAAAAAGGGTTTGGGAATCTAGCTCAGAAGTACAGTGCTTCTGGGTTCAACTGCTGGGTAGGCACGTGGTGTGCGTGCACACACCCCCCCCCCACACACTCTGTTTGAGTATGATTTTATAACATCTTTAAATATTTTTCAAAGACAAGTATTTAAATGCTTTGCTAAGTAGCTGGAACAAAGTTACTCCATAAATGATAAACACCTTATTTTAGTAGTTTATAAAGATTTAAAAGAAACAATCTTTCATTAGGATGTCAAAGAAAATAATTGCTGTGTATTCTTTCTGCCTTTGTGGTGCCCAGATGGAACTGAGATATACATCTGTAGGTTTAAAAAAAAAATGACATTTTAAAAAATCTATTTTTCTTTTTTTGGTTCCATGGATTGAACCCTGGGGCACTTAGCTACTGAGCCACATCTCCAGCCCTTTGTTATTTATTTTTTCAATATTTATTTTTTAGTTGTAGTTGGACACAATACCTTTATTTATTTTTATGTGGTGCATGGAATATTTTTAATAAGTCTCAATAATGGAATGGCCTCACATGTGCTAGACAAGTACTCTACTGCTGAGCCTCAACCCCAGCCCCTTCCCAGCCCTTTTTTATTTTGAGACAGGATATCGGTGAGTTTCTTAGGGCCTAGATGCTGAGGCTGGCCTTGAACTTATGATCCTTCTTCCTCAGCCTCCTGAGCTGCTGGCATTTCAGGAGTACACCACCTCGCCTGGTTAATCTATTTTTTTCTAATTAAAAAATTTAAAAACAAAGCAGTTTGGATTGATTTCACTCTATAACATGCTTTTATTTTTTCTTCTCTTTCAATTTTCAATTTTTTGTTTATAATCAATATAATTGTTATTGTAATCAATACTTTTAAAGCATGACAAATACTTTATTTCAAGAATTCTTATTTATTTTATAACTATATCTACAAAAAACTCATTAAATAAAGAACTAAGTCTAAATAATTTGTTTACAAAAGCACATACCCCTTGATTTCTGTCACATAAAGATTTAATTCTTTGTACTAATATTTCTTCTGTATTCATCTTATACTTTGGATTATAATTCTTTTACATAGGTTTCACATTGTTTTCTTATTTATCATTGAACTTCACAAGGTTAAGTTCCTGAAGGGTTGTCTTGTTCTTAACTTTACATTCCCAGTTCTGGACACTTAGTGGAACCTAATTTATTTGCATTGCTTTCTATGTGTCGGGCACTGTCTTCAGCGATTGACAGATATTACACATTTAGTACTTACATTACTTTGGGGTGGGTACTTGTTATGGTTTGGATATAAAGTATCTCCCAAAAGCTCTTATGTTAATGTAGGAATGTTCAGAGATGAAATGACTGAATTGCAAGAGTTGTAATCTAATCAGTCCATCTGACTTTGAATGGTCTTGGTGGTAACTGTAGGCAGGTGGGGTGTGGCTAGAGGAGGTAGGTCACTGGGATTCTGACCTAAAAGGGATCATCTTCTCTGTGTCCTGGTCACCATGAAGCGATCAGTGTTCCTTTACCATGCCCTTCTGCTCTAATGCCTCACCTTATGCCCAGAGTAATGGACTCAGCCAACCATGGACCAATTCTCTGGAACCATGAAATGAAATAAACTTTCCCTCCTTTAAGTAGTTCTGCTGGGTATTATGGTCACAGCTATGCAAAGCTGCCCAACACAGTACTAGCCACCTCTCAATTTATATTTTAGAAAAAATGAATCATAGGAGATAGCAATAAATACCTGATGGAGTATAGCTTAAATTATATTTAGCTTAGGAAATTAATTATTAAGTATGTGCTGCTTTTTTTTTTTTTTTTGGTATGAGGGATTGAACTCAGAGGGGCTTAACTAATGAGCCACATCCTCAGAGTTTACTAAATTGTTTAGGGCCTCCTAAGTTGCTAAGGCTGGCTTTGAACTTGTGATTCTCCTGCCTCAACCTCCTGAGTGGTTGGCATTACAGGTGTGTGCCACTGTGCCCAGAAGAGTATTGCATATTTATGTGAATGGAATATTTTTAATAAAGTCTCAATAATAAAATATTTTTTGGGGAAAGGGTTAAAACAATTGCCACATTTGTATTTAATACTTAGGAACTAAACACAGGTTTTTGATTAAAGATAGTAAACACTTGTTTTCTTTGTCCTAAAACACCAATAAAATTACCCTAAAGGAGATTTTTTTTTTTTTAATGACATAAACCCACAAAAATGAGAAGAATGGGAGAGGCAACACATCATCAAATATTTAGAAGTTAAAAAGAAAGATGAGTGATAAGTGACTTATTCAGCCATGAGAAAACTGAAACCTAAACAGGTAGTGGTGAAAGCTGACAAGCAATCAGATTTATGCTGCAGAATCCCCCAAAGTCTAAGGATTTGGACATAAGGTATCTGGAAGCTTGTCATGCTTGTCATTCATGAAGCCCTAGGTTCAATCCCCAGAACTGAACAAGCAAACAACACCCCTCTCCTCAAACCCAGAAACAACAACCACCCCTCTCCCACAAATATTCAGATTCTCTTCTTTGAACAGTGAGACAAATGTTTCACTCCTTTTAAGGGAAAGACAGCAGATTTATTTGAAGAAGAGAAAACAGGCACAGATGGAGGTAGTGACAATATACTAAAAAATGAATTACTTCAAATACAGGTAAATTTTCAAGATGCCTTTCAACACTAGTTTTTATAGTGCTAGCAGTAAGGCCTTTCCCCTACATGAAATTAGAAGAGTCTTCTAAGTTATTTCACAAGCTCAGGAGTAAAAGACTCTAAGGTAACAATGCTGGAAGTTTCTCAACTAAACAGTTCATCCAGATTTCCTTACAGTGAGGCTCAAAACCCACAAAAGCCTCTCTTCTCAGAGGTCCCAAATAGCTCTATAGTTTCTATCAGTGGACAATCTGTAAACATCAGAGGATAATCAGGATTTCTAGAATCTAAGGAAAGCCTCTTACATGGAAGACAGTGAATAAAAATAAGCAAAGAAATTTAGAGACAAAAGAATTATGAGAAAATCTTTCAAAACATACAGACAAACAAAAACATCAAACCCCACAGATTATGAAGTCCTCAGTGTGGTAAAAGAACAAGAAACAAGATAGGTTAGCTTACAATGAGCATTTAGGGAACAAAAAATTTCATTGAAAATTAAAAATTTGAGAACAGAAATGAATGAAAACATAGAATTAGGAGATAAAATTGATACAAATATAGTTGACATAGTAAAAAGGCAAAAAGAAGGAAAACAGAAAAAAACATGTTAGATGATGAGTACAGAAATTCTAACAAAATAGAAGTTCTAAGTAAACGAAAGCAAATGAAAAAGAACAAAACAGATGAGAAAATAATCAACAAGCAATTTCAAGAAAAAATTCTAGGACTGAAGAACAGATTGAAAAGGCTTATCAAGGATTGACGAAGACACTTTTATGTGACCAAAACTTTGTTCAGGCTCCTTTCAGTTTTTCTGATTATAGGGTGTAGAATATTCTCCAAAATATGCCACCTTGTCATACTGAGTATTTTAAGCTGAAGGAATCTGAGAAAATTGAAAAAGCATGAAATTCTGTCTGACTTCCCTGCTGTTGTCCCCTGAAGTAGGTCATAAAACAGAATTCTGACCTTCCTCCAAAATAGGTCACAAGTCCCTCACATGAGAGATGCCTTCTCCATATCCTGTTGAAGGAACATCTTTATTTCTGAAGACACAGAGAATAATATGAAAAATTGGTTTTGCTAAGTTCCCTTAGACCATACCTCCTTTGTCCAATCATGCTTCTTCATGACTATCTACTTCACCAAACTTAGCATAAAAATGCACAGGTTTTCAAGTTTCTTTTGGTCTTCATTTTGACCTATGCCATACAAAGCTTAATAAAGTCGTATGCTTTTTTCTCTATTAATTTGTATTTGCTAGTTCTATTTTCAGATCTAGCTGGGGGACCTTAAAAAGGGATAGGAGTGCTTACCTCTCTGTCTAATTTGAGCAAGAATCTTGCTAAGTCAGTTTAAGGAAAACCTCCTACCCTTGTTATCTGACTGCCATCAATATCTTATCACCCTATTGCCTTTAGCAATAATCCAATCTAGTTGGTTTAGGCAGAAATCCCTTTCCCATTTCTACTGTAATTTTCCAGCCACACAGCCCTACCCTGCTCCTTCATTATAAATCACTACTTGATCTTGTTGGAGTTACTGTTGTGTCTAATCCCTCTAATACACAGCAAGATTCCATTGCAATGGTCCCTGTATCTATTGCCATGGGCCCCCTTTAATAAAGTCTGTAAGTCTGTCTATGTCATCAGCAAGTATCATGAATAGTTTTCTCCTTAAGAGGTCCCAGAACCATAAACTTGAGACATATAACTTCAGAAATTTCAGAAAAAAAAATGGACAAGGAGAAAAAACAAAAACTACATGATAAAAAAATCAGATTTAGATTTTTCAACTGCAGTGTTGAAACTAGAATGAAATAACWTCCTATGTACAAAATGGTGAAGAGAAAAGTTTCAATTCATGTTTTATACCCAGAAAATCTAAATTTAAAAAATTTTAAAAAATAAATTAATTTCTCAACTGATGCATCAAAATATTTATGGGGTATCTACCATGTGAGGTTTTGATACATGTATACAGTATACAAGGTTTAAATCAGGTTAAACTTATCTATATCTTTAAACCTTTATCAAGTCCTTATGATGAAGACAATTAAAATCCTTTCTTTCAGCTGTTTAAAATATATAGTATATGATCATTATCTATGGTCACCTTATTCTGCAACAGCACAGCAGAATTACTTATTCCCATCTAACTGTAACTTAGTACCCATACAGCAAACCTTTAGTTAGATTTTAAAAAGACACATTCACCAACTGCAAGGGAGGCTGAGGCAGGAGGATCACAAGTTTAAAGCCAGCCTGGGCAACCTAAGGACCTTGTCTCAAAAGGGTTGAGGACGTAGCTCAGTGGTAGAGCACTTGCTATGAGGCCTGGGTTCAGTGCCAGAAAAAAACAGTAACAACAACAAATTAAAGTCTCAAGTCTCTTTCTATCCTTTCTCTGGAAACTTTTAGAGTGGGGTTTCCAAATAGAGGGGGTATAGGAATTTATTGATTATAGGAAATAGGTGATCCCGCATTAAAATTTATTGGTTATGGTAAATACAGAGGCAAAGAAAAGCACTCCCTGAGAATGAAAGAAACTCTGATGATAGCTGCACTAGACTTGGAGGAAAACCAGTTCAGACTGGAAGGGGCAGAGGGGAAGCTGCTTCTTGGAAAATGAAACTGAGAGAATCCCTGATACATTTAAACATCCTGAGAAAAGGTTTATATAATCAGATTTGAATTAGTGATAAGTGCATAGAAAACTATGCAAATAAAACGAAGTAATAACGACAGGGAAAACAGAAAAGTAAAAGTAAACATAGTTTACTATATGTTTCAGCTGTATAAAAGTCATAATATGTAATCATAATGCTTATAGTCATAATAATGTAATCATTGAATACATGAATCCCCTTCTTCTTTCCTTCTGCCCCTCTTTTTGGGGCAATCTCTTTTTGATTCTCTCTGGAGATCCTTGACTACTACCCAATTCACTAATATTGTTATAAAAATATTAGCTAAAATATTAACAGAATAAAAAACACATTCAAAAATAGTATCATGACAAAATAAAATTTATAAGATCCCTGAAAATAATAAAATTATGGTGAAAACTAATAAGCTTGTTTCCATATGCTTTGAAAATGACATTTAACAAAAGTCAGTTCTTATTAATTTTTTTAAATATTTTTTTTAGTTGTTGATGAAGCTATTTTATTTATTTTTATTTATATGTGGTGCTGAGAATTGAATCCAGTGTCTCACACATGCTAGGTAAGTGCTCTACCACTGAATCACAACCCCAGCCCCACTCTTACTAATTAATAAGTGAAATGACTACAACTTAGAGGAGTTTCTTCTTTGCCAAAAGAAAAATTAATCAAACATTTAATATTAAATGTTGAAATAGTAAAGTCTTTTAAAAAATCTGTTAAAACATGATAGAGTTTAAGAATACAAAATATTAATTAGTGGGGAACAATTATTATTATTGTTTTTGGTACTGGGGATTAAACCCAGGGGTACTTTACCACTAATCTATGTCCCCAGCCCTTTTTATTTTTTATTTTGAGAAAGAGTCTCAGTAAATTGCTTAGCCTCTTTAAATCGCTGAGGCTGGCCTCAAACTTATGATCCTCCTGCTTCAGCCTACCAAGTTACTGGGATTACAGGCATGTGTCACTGTGCTTGATAGGAACAATTATTTTTGAAAGATCAAAGCCTGGCCTTTAATAACCATTAGGCTTTTCTGATTTCTAAGTGTATGCTTCACATATTGCAGACATTTATAATATTATACTTGCTTCAATGGTGAGGTATTAAAGAGCTGTTTGAAATAATTTGTATGATTAAACTTGCAACCACCTGATAACAGAAGCATTCAATGTTATATGAAAATAATTCCAGGAGGTCGTTTTCCATTTAACAAAAGTCAGTTCTTATTATACTATAAAACTTTGTCAGTGCGTGAATGTGTATCATCTCTTATGGACAATTTCTGAATACACAGAATGCATTAATCAGCAGAACTCCATTCCTTTTAATTTGTAAATACTCACTTGGAGAGCTACTCTGTTTTCGTCTGCAAACTGTCTTATATGTCAACACACTTGCAATACTTCCTTTATTATTACTCACCTCTGCCACACCAGAACTCAGCAGTTTTTTTTTTATTTTCTAAGTCGAAGGCAGTAAGGTATCTTAAACTAGGGGACTGGAAATTCTAAGTCACTTGTGTGGTTAATGTCTTAATTTGCATAAAACTGTGTTAAAATTCAACTCACACAAACAGGAGGAGAAAAGGAAATGACATCAGAGGTGCTTTGCTAATCAGAAGAAATGTAGCTGTATTGTTCCCATTCATCAGTTATAAAGTCCACTCTTCTGGACAGAGTGGACTTTATAAGGATGGCACTCAAAAGACAGTCATCTGGTCAACTTTTCTTTAAGAAATTAAATTTAGTTTTCTAGAAAATTCCTCATAGTGATATCCAGAGTCAAATTTTTGCCAAAAAAAAAAAAAAAAATTCTAGCTTTCTACTTTTTACTACAAAAGTTCTTGGTGGATATTACCTGTGTCCTCTTGTTTTTTTTTTTTACAAAGTTGGCATGTAGGCAAGATTAATTGGACAATGAGTACTTGAAGACTTATGCACATTTTTAACCATCTATTTATGGAACTTTTGCTTAAGAACAAATCTTCAGGCAAATACTGAAAACAACTGGGTTTTACTGACTATAAAAATGGAAATTTGAAACCACAGTCATCAAGCTTTATTATAATTGGAAATGTATATTTTAAGAAAAGATTTACCAAGTCATTTTTAAAGAATGCGAACGCTATTTATTTTTGATTCTTTGTGTTGTTTCCTTCCAATCTTAAAATACATTTCTACATTTAATTTGTACTAACCATATATTTAAAAACATCTATTTAATGAAATTATACAATATTGAGATTTGCTCTACAAGTCCAAGGTAGTATTCAGAAACTAAAGGGGAGATAGTGATAGGATGCTAGCCTGAGGGGGACTTTTGGGGCACTAATACTGTTCTGTTTCTTCATCTGGTGCTGCTCATATGGCTTGTTCAGTTTGTAAGAAGTCATCATATTATACATTTAGGATATGAACATTTTTCTGTTTACAGATAATACTTTAATAGAAAGTTTTTAAAAAAATGTGGTCCTGCTTACTTTGGTAGTAGTTAACTTGCAAGGGCTGAATATTCTTAATATATAAGATTTGATATAGATCTAATATCCATATTCTGTAATGGGTGATAAACCAGTACTACTATTCCCAAACCTTTGAGACAGAAGACTCAATGAACCCTTTGCTGTCTCCACCTCTTTCACTAGCTGGCCCATGGCTGGTGTGCTATGAACGAAATTCAGTATTGTTCAGAATGCTTTCTGAAGAAGTAGTAATGTTTATTCTCCTCTGATATCATGAGAAAAATTATATGAGAACCGGGTACGGTGGCCCATGCCTGTAATCCCATTGACTCGGGAGGCTGACAGGAGGATTGCGAGTTCAAAGTCAGCCTCAGCAATGTCGAGGTGCTAAGCAACTCAGTGAGACCCTGTCTCTATAAAAGTTACAAAATAGGGCTGGGGATGTGGCTCAGTGGTCGAGTGCCCCTGAGTTCAATCCCTGGTACCAAAAAAAAAAAAAAATTATATGAGATGCTAGTGTATTTTAACGACAATACTTTAGGACAACTGCCCAGTAATTAGCTGGTGTGTAAGTTATACAGTGATTTTGTAAATCACTAGTGTAGTGGAAAAAGGTTTTGGCTTCAAAGTAGACATAGATACCCATCACTTTAATTTTTTTCTTATTCAACTGTTCATCTATTTGCCTCTTTATAGACATTTACTACATGTAGGATGAATGTTCAGTGCCTTGTATGTGACAGGGATTGCGATTAAAGGAAGAATCTGGTATCTGCCTAGGTTGGAGAATAGCTAGCTACTAACCAAAGCTGTATCTTCTTTTTCCTGGGCATGCAGTTAAACTAAATTTCCCAGCTTACCTATGGTTAGGGGTGGCATATGACTGAATCTATAGCCCATGCAACAGAAGGCCTGTTCCATAAAAACCTATTACATAAAAACCTATACAATATCCCTCTGTGCTCTTTTCCACTTGTTGAACTGATTGATAGGAAGAAAAAGCATAAAACATTAATAATGGACATGAAGAAGGAATAGCACTGACAAATATTTTTGAGACAAAAACTAACTTGATTAGATGTGGCAGGTGGCTGCGGGGGTAAAGGTGAATAGTAGTTAAAGATTAAAGGTAATACTGAAGTGAATATTTCAGAAGAAGCGGTAAAGTCCCAAGTAAAAGTAGAGGTCAGAAGGTCAGTATAGATCGCAGGGGATAGAAGAGACCATGATTAGTTCAGTTTTAAAATTACTGAGTTTGAAATACCTTTCTGAATCCCTCATGCAGGTCATGAGGGATTACAGGTCTGGCCTAAAATGTACTTATTGTAGGTATGGGTCATCTTTTCAAAGTAAGAACAAGGAAAGCCCTGAATTGACTTACAAGTAGATAATTAAGCCACCCTAAGAAGAAAATATTGGCTCTTAAAATTTAAATATTTATGTAGAAAAAAATGGTAGGATTCAAACAAATAAAAAGGATATATAGAGGGAAGTCTTCCTGTATTGGTTTCTCCAGCATCTATTCCCCCCCACTACCCCCAGGATACCTCACGTTACCAGATGTTTTTTGTATCTTTCCTGAGACAGTCTTTGAACATGCAAGCAAATAAACCTAAATCTGCTTCCCTTCTTTATCACACATATACCCCCACCCCATCTTTCCTAAGGGACATTAACTTACCTTAGAGTGGCTCCCTCAGTCTTAATCACATCTCCATCTTTCAGATAAACATATTGTTGCTCTCCATTTCCTATAATTTCTTTCCTGTGAGGATTCCGTGGGAGTTTTTTAATACAATAGGTAGTTTCTAGCCACAAAACATATAAATATATTAGGTCATACTTTAAATGATTTAGCCTTTTAAGAGATCAACTTTAATACAGCTTACAATTGTGAATGACTACATAAAATACTCACATTAAGACCACAGAAATATGGGATGAGTTGTAGCTTATCCCTCTGGATGTAACTTTTAATATAATTTAATGAAAGAACTTTTTATTCTTCCATGCACCTCTCATGGAAGCCTGTATGATTTTTTTAGTCATTCCATATAAAAGTTTGAAAGTAGTTCTTCATAATCTTAGTCAGCTTTAACATTAGGACAAGTGTTAAAAGAGTAACAATACAGAACCCAAGAACTATCTCTATCTAGGTGCCTACCTACAGTAAAGAAGCAGTGGTACATGCTTGTAATCCAAGCTGTTTGGGAGGCTGAGGCAGGAGGATCACGAGTTCACAACCAGCCTTAGCAACTTAGGGAGGTGATAAGAACTCAGCGAGACTCTGTCTCTAAATAAAATATTAACAAGGGTTGGGGGATGTGCTGTTATGATCCATGCCATGAGTATTGAAAGGAAACTCCAAACCTGAGGCTAAGTAAGTTCAGCACAAACTACTACTCACTGATATAAAGAAAATCAAGCTAAATAACCCATCAATAGTCGAGTGCCAATTATCTATGTATAGTGAATACAAGCACCATGACATCAAAGGATTTAAAAACTGTCATAGTGGGGGGAAATGAAATTTATAAACAGAAACAAAGACCTATACACAATGCCATTTCTTGAATGCTAAAAGGACAATTCAACTAGTAAGAGCAACAGAGCAGGTCACGGTGGTGCAGATCTGCAATCTCAGCTACTGGGAAGCTTAGGGAGGAGAACTGTCAAATTCAAGGCTAGCAAGACCTTGTCTCAAAAAAATAAGATAGGGATGGGGATATAGCTTAGTGGTAGAGTACTCCTAAATTCAATCCCTTGTACCACCAAAATAAATGAGTAAACAAAATTAAAAAGAAACCCAACAGGAGTCCAGAGAAAAGAAAAAATAGGAAAGGATTCAGATATATGATGGAACTTAGGGTATGATTTACATGATAAGTAAGATGTATAAGAAAGACATGGAGGAATGGAGAACAGCATTAGTAATGGCATAGGAATGAGAATGAGCATGGCATACCTGTGACAAGATAATGCTACCAACTTGTCTAACGGAAAACACTGGGTGGAAGAGTGGAGAAAGTGGGCTCGGTAAGATGAGCTCGATTATGGAGGGCCTTAGACTGCCTTTCTTTTCACACAATGGAGGGATTTAAATTTTACCAAGTGTAGCCATTCCACACTTTCAGGAAGACAACGAGATGGTGTTAACAGGTAGGGCAATATGGCAGTTGTAAGTGGGGAGAATGGAAGGGTGAAATCTGACAGAACAGAACCAAGAGGGGATGACTGCAATAACCCACATTGAAGATAATTAATATTAAGGTGGTAGAACTGAAAACACATGAGGGAGAAAAAGACATCCCAAAGAAAAACCAACAAGGCATAGAAATCTGGCCAGTATGGAGTATAAAAGAGATAGAAACACTGAAAAAAATAATAACAATAACAAACAGCACCTTTCCTTTCCAACCTAAAATTCCATTATTTTGTATCTTGGAGGTTGAAGCAAAAAACCAAACCAAACCAAACCAACCAACCAACCAACCAACCAGATCTGGAAACTGGTACTGCATAATAAATTAGGATGGTGAGGCTTATTTTGTTTTTTAATTTGCCTAATTAGAACTTCAGTAAAGAAGTAGAGATTTGTTTCTAGTTTTAAGACTTTGGTTGACAATCTTCATAAAAAAATCACAACTACTTTAAAATTATAAAACAATTCATACTATAACTTTGTATCAATTTTCAAATATATAAATTTTCAATATACATATAAATTTTCAATATACATAAAAGAAAAAAATATCTTATTCACAATAACCATTTACAAGAATGGACAAACATGCTGAAAACAATCATATAACATTTCTAATAATTACTTTATTGAGATATAATTCACATACTATAAAATCTGTCCTTTTAAAGTATACAACTCAGTAGGTTTTAACTATAGTCAAAGAATTGTGCAACTATCACCACTATCTAATTTTGGAAGCTCCCAAGAGAAATTCTGAACTCAATGGTAATCACTCCCTRCTCATTCCCTTCTAGCCTTTGGCAACCACTCATCTACTTTCTGTCTCTATTATATAGCTCAGTCATTTGTTAAGGTTTGCATAATGGTTTATAATATTATTGAAAATGCTTATCATTTAAGCTAGTACAAATGTGATATTGTCAATTTATTATAATTTCTAATAAAAACATTCTAATTGAATAGCATAGATACAATCATTTGAATCCTTGGGCTTAGTTGTGAAATATGTGGCAGAGACTCAATTTTACTTGAAAAATAATTAAAAATTATCAAATAACAAAATATATTTTACAAGATTTATTCTAAACCAAACCAAACCAAAATATGTAAGCAGTGTGGGATTACAGAGTTTGCATGCCTAGCAAAATTATGGCTTTCTGTAAGCCGCTAAGAGTTCCCAAATAAGCAGATTGCTTTCCAGTCTTTATATCTTCCCACAGAAATCTTGTAAATGGCATTTGTATTTTGGTGGTGGCCTATAAAAATATTGTAGCATTGTAAGCTATTTGAATCCTTTCTACTCTACCAATAATTAAACAAAATTGCAAAGAAGTATGGAACAAAGTAACAAAAGTAAAACAAAATGAGACCATAATGCTGATGATATAGGATTTTGAGAATGAAGAAATAACATGGAACTGCTGGGGAAGATTCTGGAAGACACCTCTGTACGATTTTAATGACCAGCATCTCAAGGTCCTTAGCACCTTGTCTAGCTTCAATAAAGTCCAGAAACAAAGACAAGTCACTTCTCAATGTATTAAAATTTCAGTGGCTATACAAAGCAGTGTCAATTTTCTCCTTTAGATTCTTTACATCAGTTGAATAGGTAATATACTACCTAAGTATATTAAATATTAGGTAAGTCTACATTACTATAGGTAATCTAATAGTTAATATTTTGTATGGAACCTAAAACTTTAAATTTAAAAATAAATCTAACAGAAGAATGAACAAATAAATTATAGTGTATTTATACATGAGACTATTACTGGGCAATGGGTGAATTGTCTAGAGAAGGAAAATTCATTAGGCTAAGAAATTATTTTTTATTTTTTTTTTAGCATCCCCTTGGGTTGGACAAAATGAGGAAAGATGACAAGAACATTAGGTTAATTTTTTTTTTTTTTTTGGTACTGGGGATTGAACCCAGGGGTGTTTAACCACTGAGCCACATCCTTCACATTTAGAGACAGGGTTTTGCTGAGTTGCTTATGGCTTCACTGAGTTGCTGAGGCTGGCTTTGAACTCTTGATCCTCCTGTCTCAGCCTCCCTAGCCCCTGGGATTACAGGCTGTGCCATGGCACCCAGCAGAAAGGTTTTTTTTTTTTTTTTTTTTTTAATAACTGGCAGCCTGGTGATACTGGGTGCAGTAGCTGAGACTATTTTGGTCTTAACTATAGTCTCAAGGCCTAAAAAAGGCTTGCAAATATTTTAAAATACTAGTTTAATGCACATGCACATCCTTGTGTGGATTAAAGTCCTTGACCTCTTGGCTAATGCCTTGAATATGCCAAGCATACTCCTATTCCAGTCTCTTTGCTCCTGCAATGACCTTAGTCTGGCATGCAATCCTCTCAGGGGCTCACCCCTTCTTCTTACCCCCTCTTGGATAATAGCCACTGCTTTTTCCCCTTCATTCTTTCCCTTTTCTCTTTGCATAACTTTATTTTTCCCCCAATTCCCATTACTTTCTCCAGTACAGGCTAAGGATACCCTATTTGAAATGCTTGGGACCAGAAGTGTGTAAGAATATTTGCAAAAACATAATGAGGTATCGTGAGGATGATCCCAAGTTTAACACAAAATTCATTTATGCTTGGTATATATTTTCTACCCAAAGCCTAAAAGTATTTTTATACAACATTTTTAGAGAGCTTATGTTTTGACTGTGACCTGTCATGAGGTCAGGCAGGAAATTTCCAACTGTGGAATCATGCTGGTGCTTAAGAAGTTTTGTATTGTGGAGTATTTTGGATTTTTGGACTAGGGAAGCTCATCTTGCAGAATGAAAGCTTTCTGAGAGCAGAGTCTGTTTTCTTCACTGCTATGTTCTCTTGAGCCAAAAACAGTACCTGATATATAGCAGTCATTGGAATACTTATTGAATGAATAAATAGAAGTATGTGGTGGTAGGATGACAGAATAAGGACAGAGTTGGCAAACAGGTTTCAGGAAGAGAGAAATTCAATGATACTTTGTCTGAATTTCAGTTTGTATTAGTAGTTGCTTTGGAATCAATTGTTATGGAAGCCCTGATATCATCTGTTTAGAACATGGACAAAAGCAGCATCTTACTCACAGTACCCTCATGAAATGTTGAGCAGAGTGCTTGGCACACAGAAAATGCTCAATAGTTATTAGTTATTAAGTGTAAGGCAGTAAAGGTCACAAATGACGAAATTAAAACTGTCCATTATCACAGAGAAAAAGGGGAAAGTAAGAGGGAGAAGAGGATTTAGAAATAGAAATCAGGACTGTTCCTGTCCTTTTTTGTTAAAGCTGGGAACAGTATTCAAGTCACAAAAATAGTACTTTTTTAAAAGTGCCATTTAAGTAAAAGGTACTTAGTGAATGGTCTATACCTTACATTATAAATGATTCCCAAACATAATTTTCTTCAATGTGTATTGTAAATATTTTCTGTTTACCATTTTCGATGTTTTTACAAATATCTTTTATGCCTCCAGAATGATCAACATGCCAATGAGTCACTATGATTTCTTGGATTGCTGTATTAAATTCAGCCAGAGCTTGCTTTAAACAGCTGATGTATTCTGGAACTGAGGGCTCTCCAGTGTCAATAAGGATTCTCCTGAAAATTAAGGGGAAGATAATCATGCAATTGGAACAAAGGGTTAATGTTAGCATATTTCTCACACAGATAATTTATATTAAATTTAAGAAACTCTGTAGCAGTTTCTTTCAACATGCTTGGAAACCAGTTACATGTTACTTCAGCTTAACTATAGTGATAGTACTGTAAGTACTTTGAAACAAATTATATCTAAATGGAAGACTATACAAGGAATAACAGCAGTAATCTTGAATACTTACATAGTAACTGTTCCCACTGTATTCTTCCTAATGGCTATTCAAGGCAGGCATTTCATATACTCAGAAGTTAAGTAACTTCCTCAGTGTTACTCCACAAATAAATGACAGAATCGGCATTCAAGCCCTGATGCCAATATATGTTTACATCTACTTAGCCTTCCAGATCTTTTACAAAGCCCTCAAAATTCCTCACGGATATGAATTTGATTCAATAGCAATTCAAAAGAAACCTGGTTTTCTTCATGAGATACCTAACTTAACACTGAAGTTTTACAATTGTACTCTTACATGTGAAAAAGGATGTAAGGATGTATAGGGGAAGGTCTGAACTGTTATATTTAATTACTAAGACAATCCCATTAGTTATATACATATATTTTTGTTTGTGGTTTTGAGCCTTTCTTATACTTTGTTTTCTTTCCTCACTATTTTATGGAATAGCCTTTCTCTCTATTTTCGTGAACAAAAGAAATCTGTGATATTTTCCTTAAGAACGAACCAATTCACAAATTTAACCCAAGCAACTTTAACAGTAATACCTCACACCCATTTAAGCCAAGATATTAGTCTTGATGAAAATTCTGAATCATTCATTACTTTATCAGAAACTGTTCACAGATTACCGACAACTTGCCATGTCTTTATTTCTTGCAGAAATCAAGAAAAACAACCTTGCTTACTTTCTAGAGAGGTTGGTAACAGGGAGGTGTGTATGACCAAAAACAAACAATAAAGTAACAGGTGACAGAAAAACATTTTACAGATAATTAAAATCCAATTCAAACTGGCCTTATACAAAGTTACAGTTGGATAAGAGCAAGAAGTTCTAGCATGCTATTGCACAGTAGGGTACTACAGATAACAATATCTCGTACATTTCAAAAAGGCAGAAAATATTTTGAAAAGTCGTACATTTCAAAAAGGCAGAAAATATTTTGAAAAGTTTTCACCATTTAGAGAAATTATGTTTGAGTAGATAAAATTTAGTCTGATTTGAACATTATGCAACATATATGTGTATAAAAACATGTATATATGATATGCCATTAATATGTACAATTTTGTGATTATATAAATGAATAAACACAAACTTTAGAAAAGGTCCCTCACTGGAGAGGAAGACAGTGGGCCACAATTTATATCCTAAGTTCTGTAAAGCAGTGAATCAACTTTAGAAATACACTTTGAAATGCCTGCTCTGGAGATGGGTACCACATGTTACACAGGTCTGAGGGAACATTAGAAGATCTTGGTAGTGAAAGGAAGAGATGGTAGTAAGGAAGAGATGGTTTAAAGACCTTTCAGAAGGCACAATCACAGTTGTTTTTTTTTTTTAACAGCGAGATTTGGAAGGGAAGGGAAAGACAGATCAGATCATTTTGAGTTTCTGGGTGGGATGGTTGACGTGCTGTTAACAAAGACTGGAAACACTGGAGGGAATAAATCTAAGATGAGTCTGAACTGGGTCACAGTGAATTTTGATAGTATTTGTAGTTACCTTCCCTTGCTTTTTCTCCATAGCAATTATAATCATGTAACATGTATTTACATGCTTATTTACTTATTGTCTATCTCCATACTCTCTACCACTCTACAAATGTAATCCCAGGAGGAAGGGACCTTGTCTATCTGGTTGAAGTGATTTATGGATTTATTTGTACATCTACAACACACTATGCAATGCTTGTCCATGTGTACATTTAGTCATACTACATTAAAAATACATAAAACTATATTACGATACTTCCTTATAATATTCTCTTACCTATAATTCTAGATTTTGGCTCTATGAATTTGGGGTTCTTTGGTGTTTATCCCAAATTCTTTATGCCCCTTAATTAGTGTCACTTGGGTTATTTTGGAGGTCTTCTGGCCCTTGAGAGGAATCCTTCCATGCTTCAGATCAAGACTTCTCAAGTCTTTTTAAACCACAAAGTCCCCTAATTGTTATTATTTAAATCATTGGCTTCCCTTCCTCCCAAGAAACTCTATTTTGAAATATCTGGCAACTGAAAATCTGATCATACAGATAACATCTTATGCTGACACAGTAATTTAAACCATTTGGAGATTTTATGTTTATTATATTTTGATCCTTAGATCAACTTTAGGGAGGGATTATTTTATTTATAGAAAAAGAAACTAGTCTTCAGAAAACAATTTGCTCCAGGTCTTACAGTCAGCAAGAGGCAGTGCTAGGAGGCACAAATGTTCAAGTACAAGTTTTAGTGACTTCTTCAGAACTAGGACCCTATTACCTCTTGGACAGAAGGTGACTGTTTAGGAAAGCACCTAGAATCACTTCTCATGTGGCAAAAATGAAACTTCAGTTCTAGACTAGAACACAAAGTTGTTTCCTCCTTAAATATTTATCTCATCTGTAAAGCTTATGAATAGTTATTGCAGATGATTACATAGTATCATTTCTATGTGAGTTGGTTGCTTTTATTCTTCATGGTCACAGGTAATATACCTCTCTCAGGAGTTCATCCTGCAAATGCAAGTAATACTGATAAAAGGTCTAAGAGAAGAGTGTAAATTATCTATACAGGTCTATGACTGATTTATTCACTAGGGCTCAGTGCCTGACATGTAGTAGGCACGTAATAATAAGCTGCTACATGAAGAAAAAAATTCTTTAACTGATGGCAAGTTAGTGGAATTAACTATTTCCTTATAGGTATTTTATATCAATATTAAGCTATCAACTGGTCTCCGTCAATATGCTGTCATTAGCTCTTCTCTGAATATCTACTATGAAACCAGTGTTATAAGAAAAACAGAAGTGATAAATACCTAATGTTGTTTTCCACGTTAGTATTTTTTTTTTTTTTTTGGTTCATAGGTTTCACTGAATCCTCAAAACATACCTATGAGGCAGGTACTATATAGCCCTCATTATATAGGTAAGGAATGTAAAACTTAAGAGAGGTAGCTGTCTTGTTGAAAGTCACACAGCTAGTTGGGTGTGGTGGCACACACCTGTAATCCCAATGGTTCAAGAGGATGAGGCAGGAGGATCCAGAGTTCATAGCCAGCCTCAGCAATAGCGAGGCACTAAGCAACTCAGTGAGACCTTGTCTCTATATAAAAAAAAAAAAAAAAAAAAAAAAAAAGGGCTGGAGATGTGGCTCAGTGGTTAAGTGCCCCTGGTTACCCCCCTCACCCCCCCAAAAAAAAAAAGTCGCACAGCTAGTAAATGGAGGCAGGATAATAATCTAGGTAATCAAAGTCCAAAGTAGTAACTCTACTCTTCTGGACTGCTCTTTGTATTATAAGGTACAATATATGAAGTCACAGTATGTAGTTTTGACAGAAAATGTTCAAATTGCAACTATCAGGGATTCTTGAGAAGAGAAGGAAAATTGGGCAATCATTTGTTGATTCAAGTGCTTATTGAGCACCTATAATACTAAGTATCACAGCAGGTCTACTAGTGCTTCAGTGAAATTCATTTAACATCCATGGGCTGATCAGAATGAGGAAGACAAGCTAAAATTGTAGCTATCCAGAAGTCCTAGAATAATAGTAAAAATTTAAGAGAAAATTTAAAGAATGGTTATTCATTTGGCAAACATTTACTGTAGTACCTCTACTATACAAGGCTCTATGCTAGGTGCTGAGGATACAGTGATTAATGTCTTCATTGAATTTATGTTCTGTTGAGTAAGGGTCATGAAAAGTATGGAATGCTAAAACAGTGTACTACTTAGTCCAAAGGGTCAGGGAAGGTTTCCCTGAGGAATTATTTCAAATGTACTCTAAAGGATGAGTAAAGATTGCGAGTTGAAGAAGGGAGGAATGAGTTGGAGACAGAGAAGGAGGTGTGACCAGAAGCTCAGTGGCAGAAATGATACAGCTTTGCTGAGCTACTGCAGAAAGAGAAGCATAGCCTACTTGAGGTCTGAGATGAGCCTAATGAGATGGGAGACAGAATACTTAAGGTGTTTCAATTCTCTCTCTTTTTTGGTTTGATACTAGGCACTGAACCCAGGGTCACTCTACCAGAGTGAGATTCTAGTTTGTAAAGATACATAGGTACTTTTCACATAACATGGGCGTTAAATAGCCAATTTGTTCATCTCATTTTTTAAAGAGAACCGGTCATCTGGGTGGGAGGAAAGTAAATTGAGTTGAACTGAGACCGTTCATCTAACTCCAACATGGTATTCTATGAGTCTTTCTAGAGTAATTTTGCCTATGCAATTTTCATCCTACGTAGACTTTAGAACCAATTTAAGATGACATGCTGAGACAGGAATGCCTGTGGACTATCTGGGCTTAGGGACTGCTTAATTTTTTGCCCTCTTACATTTTGGAGTTTGCCTAAATAAAGGTCTTGTATTTACTTGATCCTGCCAGTTTACTCTGGACTTAACCTTTGGCCTACTTAATTGCAAGTACTCTCAGTCCTTCCTATTCTGCAGCTTCTAAAATTCTTAGTTAACGAAAAAAGAGTGATATGCAGTACATACTTCAAAGGAAAACTCAATGACCTATATTGGTCACAACTATAATAAAAACCAAAATTACTTACGGTCAGTTTCTCCTTCCCAAGAGCCAGGTTTTTTTTTTTTTTTGTTTTGTTTTGTTTTGTTTTTTAACAGATTCAAGTAAGTTGGAAGCAAGAAAGTCCTGCCCTCTGCTGCTGAATTAAGGAAGTGGCCTCAACATAACTGCTTTCCTGATGGGAAACTGTACTCTGGCCAAAACGCCAAGGGACTTTAGTAGTATAAACGCTTTCTTGGAGTCTTACCTCCAGAACAGCTTAAACACGAAGTCTGGCATTCAACATTAAGCAAAGTAAATCGGGTTTCAAAAGCTTAAGTTTTTTTAAAATTTTATTTTTTTCACCACTTCTGGCTTGGTTAGAGAGGGTACCACCGGGGTGGTTGTAATTCAGCAGAACTCTGCGGCCCTGGTATGTGCACGAGGGCCTGACTGGGATTGCCCTTCCCGGGAGTAGAAGCCGTGCTCCCGCAATCTCTCCCCGGGGCGAGCAGTCGTCGCGGCCTCAGCTCCGCGGTCCCGCGGGCGAGTGTACGTTGTGGGGGAGGGGCGAGACGTTTACCTGGAGCCGGTCCCCACCAGGTAGGTGTTGGTGCCTTGCAGGGTCATGGGACCCGGATTACAGCCCAACACGCGTACTACCCGACTGGACAGCCGCTCGATGCGCTGCAGCGTGACAGACATCTTGAGTTCCGGCGGCCAGCGGGCCCCTAGCGTATTAGGAAACCAGAGCGAGGAACTAAAAAGCCAGCCGGATGGGCGGGGACAACAATCTCGGAACACCGCACGAACCGGTAGCGAGAGGATAAGCAGCTCAGCAGGGGAGGGGCCAGAGAAAACGTGACACCGCGCGAGCTGGGCGGGATCTGGCAGCTGGGCGGGGCCATATGTCACGTGACGCCGCACGGGGTGCGTAGGCCGGGGGCGGGAAGCGGCTCGTGGGCTGCATGGCTAGTAGCTGTCTGAGGCGCTGAGGCGACGCGGTGTTGTAGAGCCTGCTGCCTTTCTAGGACTTTCTAGGACCGGGCAGGCGAGTGCCTTGAATTAGATGAGAGACATTTTAATTTAGGAAATCTTGTGAGGAAGCAAGGATTAGACAGGTTTGAGGTAACTGAGTTACCAACTCCTGGGAAGGAGTGTCCGGCAGGCTTTTAGGAAGTGGTGGGGTTAGTGTGTCCGAATAACCTTATGTCTTTTATAGTGAATAGTGGTAGCTCCAGCTTAATGAGTGCTTACTGCTGTACAAAGTACTTTTTACAAACATCTCTTTTACTCCTCAAAACACCCGAAGCAGTGGGCACTACTTCTGTCTCCATTTCGTATTTGAAAAACGGAGTTTGAGAGGCTTGCCTAGGTGACAGGGTTGGTGAACCGGGCTCAGTGTCCGGGACTGGGTTCCTGCCTATTTTCAGCCAACACTTGACCCAGCCACGGAGGTTGAAGGAACTTGCCTCTCCCTGTTAATGTTACCCACTTTCCCCTGAAAGGAGAGTTGGACTTGGGGAAAAGCCTTTTTTGCTAAGATGGAATCAACTCCTCTGCTCTGTAACGAGTCGTTTTGTAGTTGGTCGAGTATTAACTGCCTTAGTATTAGCTACTGTTTCCCATATAAAAAGTTGAGTTATAAACGAACTAAAAGAAAATGCACAAATCCTATTATCAGTTCCATCAAATTAAGATAATTGTATATAACCACTACCTCCAAAGAGATGCGGAAAATATCCATCTACTTTTTAAAAAGAATTAAATGAATAACTGACGCATTGAATGCTTAGTTAAAATTTAGGATAGGTATCTTCAGCATTTTTTAAAGAAGAGATTTTCTTTAAGTCTTTTTCCTGTAGAAAGACAATCTGCTTTTTTGCTTATAATTATTTTACAAAGCAGTAATTTAATATCTCACATTGGTTGAAAGATACCTGTGTTATGTGTGAGAAGTTGTCTTGTGTCTCAGAAATGACTATTAACGGAAGTGTTTCAAAGGTGTTACTTAAATTGTCGTATAAATCATTGTGAGATAGATTAGCTAGGCCCTAAGTTACTTAGATCTTGTCTCAATATAAAAAATAAAAAGGTCTGGGGATGTGGTTCATTAGTTAAGCTTCCCTAGGTTCCCTGAATGCCAAAACAAAACAAAACAAAAAACCTTGCAGTAACTATCAAAATCTTCACTTAGTCATTTTCATTCTACCCATGTTTACCTATTGATAGCCATTAATTAATGGTCATTCAGATGGGAAGCTACCTCCATGCTTCCTTTTTAAGAACTGTGCTGGTAAATTTGGAGAAGAGAATTATAGTGGTTTTTGGATCACAGTGCTCTTCCTGGGACTCTGGACAACTCCCTCACCTTTCCTGTTTTTGAAGACTAGATTATCTCTTGTGCTTTCCATTTTGATTTCATTAATCCATTTCCAAGTTTCTCATTTGGCAGATGAAGAAATAGGCCTAATAAATGATATAAATGTAAAGTGACATGTATAGGGTCATACAATAGACAGTGGAAGAGCAAAAGCAGAATAGATATGAACATGGTTTAGATATGATGAAGTTGAGGTGATTGTGGGATATCCAGGTAAAGAATTCATAGACAGTTGGATATATGAATTGAGCTCTGAAAAGAGATCTACACTAAAAATACAGAAGTGAATCTTTGTGGATATATTTAACAGTGTGAATTATGGAGTGTAAGTTTCTCTTCAAAAAATAAGACCAAAGGTGTTACAGTSTGTTTAGTTATATTAAGTCATTTGTTACCTGCCTACAACATGCAAGGTACTGTTGTAAACATAGTGAGGAGATGTTAAAAATTATATAATTTTTGCTTTTTAGAGGATTGTAACCATGAAGGAGACATACATGATATTATTTTAAAGCATATGTTGATAAATCCTAGAAGTATAGTTAAGGTGATGGGATTGCAAGGAAGAAGGGGAGACTCATTGTTTGGGAAGATTTGGAACTTAAAGGTGGTGGTTTTAGAGCGTTTTTCTTTTGTTGTTTTGTACTAGGGATTGAACCCAAGGGCACTTAATCATTGAGAAATATTCTCAGCTCTTCCCCCTTTTAAAAAATATTTCAAATAGGATCTTACTGAGTTGCTTAGATCCTTGCTAAATTGCTAGGRCTGGCTTTGAAGCAATCCTCCTGCCTCAGCCTCTGGAGCCCCTGGAATTACAAGTGTGCACCAAGCCTGGCCAGAGCTGGTTTTTAAAGGAATGGAAGAATTTCAAGATATAGATGGTGGTTATTCTAGATAGTAAATATCTTTGAGCAAAAAACTTAGAAGAAATGTAGTTCTTATTTTGGGAATTACTTAAATTTGGATCCCTTGGATCATGCATTAGAGACTTCATTCTCAGCCTGTAGTACTATGGGAAGTGGTAAACCTTTAAGAGGTGGGGCCCACAGGGAGGTCTTCAGGTCATTGAGGGCATGCCCTTGAAGGGGATTGTAGGACCTTGGTCTCTTCTTGTGTTTTATTCCTGGTGGTATGATGAACACCTTTGCTCTGCCACACAACTCCTGCCATGAAGAGTTGACTCCCAACTCCCAGCATAGCAATGAATCCACAAGATCATAGACCAGAAGCTCCAAAACTGTGAGCCAAAATAACCTTTTTCTTTTTTTGTTTATCTCAGTATTTGTTATAGGAACAGAAAGCTAGCACAGTAATAGAGACCAACATAATCTAAGGGCATGTATATGTTCTAAGGGCATAGTGTTTGAGAAGGTATATAGATTGAGAAAAAGTAGGTAGGGCTAAGTTAATAATACTTTGTAAATTCCTTAAGTGATATTTCAGATTTAAGATTCTCACCTTGATATGTTTTTAAGCTTTTCATATTTCTTAATATTTGTTTGGCAAATACAATGAAAGCTTGGAATCTAGTCAGGGTACAAAGGAACAATGTTTTTTTTTTTTCCTCTCAATTAGGTAGTTGTATAGAGGTGTACTGTATTCATAATGATGCATACTCTTATCACTAGCTTATAAAATGTCACATGTGTCTAACTGGTGATTTCAGTTTCATTTTAGTATTCGATCTTAAAGGATTATATGCCCTTTAATTTTGCTTGTTTTCAGTGGTGAAGAAATAAAATATTCACAAAATGCAGATTTTCCAGAAAGGACTTTGAATTGAAGAATGCTTTTAATATTTGACAAGTAAGTTTTTTTAATGTGTTAAATTTGACTGATAAGTGAAAGTTTCCTAGTTTTTATTTCTTCAGAAGTCTGCTTTAATGCGAGGAGATCATGTACAAGGGCAAGGGTTATGTTTTTGGCGGGCAACCAGGTACACATAGCTATGTTGACCTCTGAATGAAATTGGATTGGTACTGTTAAGTCAGTTAAGTGTAAGAAGTCCCCTGGAAGTCAATTTTGTAGGTGGTATTATTTTTCCTAAGGTGATATTGGAACAGTGATCAACTGTAGAGGTAGAGATGAATAAGTAGATATTGAAAGAAATGAAGGCTGTCTTTTTGAGAATTATCATCTTAGCTTGCCATGTAGATTTCTTTCCTGTTGGAGTTATGCTTTTGTCTAACTAACTATGGACATTCTTTTTCATTTTCAAAACTTTGAGATCAAATCATAATTTTTCACTTAACATTTTATAATGTGAAGTCAGAGATTGCAAACTTACATGCTTACAGAGGTCAGATAGGCATGCAAAATAATGATAACATTTCTTGAGCCCTATGTGCCAAGTAGTTTTCTAGAAGATTATATGTATCATGTGCTTTATCTTTCTTAATCTTCATAACAACTCTCTAAGGTATATAGTATTATTTGTATCAGATTAAAAAATAGGGAAGAGGACAGAAAAGAAAAGATTTAAGGACACATTGTGAGTAGATAAGTGTATTAGCACTGAGACCCAGAATTTGAAATTACTGAAGCAGGCCAAATGGCCACTGTGGCAAACTGAAGAAAGCATGCCCCATATTAAGGGCATACACTATGCATGAAGAAATGCTAATGTAGCATTGCACATCTTTCAGTTTTTTTTAATTGCAGACAGAAATCTGGATTTTTAAAAATGAGATGTTGGAATTAATTAGAAAAACAAAAGGCACTTAAGTCAAACAAACTGTGTCAGCAGATTGCATTCAGTACATGTTTATAAAATAGGGATGTTAGTATCTATTCTAAGTTTGATGTAAGAATCAAATTGGAGCATTTTATATACAACATTTAGCTCAGTGCCATGCACATAGTGCTAAGTATATGTTAGCTCTTTTTAGTAGGATAAACATTTTTTCTAGTCATCAAAATTCCTCTTCAGTGTCATTTATTGTCATTTTTATCTTAAGAAATTGTAAAAATAATATATGAGTGCATGAGTGTGTTGTAAAACCTCAACATGGAAGCAGAGGGAGCAAATGATTGAAGTTGCATTCGTTTTTTGTTCCCATTCCCAATTGCCTTCCCCTCCCTATATGTAATTAAAAGCCACGAATGCTGTGTTTATCTTTCTAGTACTCTGTTCCCTTTTATACATCTTGGAAATCTTCTGAAGTAATTTCAAACAAAGCTACATCATTCTTTTCAAAGGTTGCATGATTTATCCTTTACTATGAATATATCCTAATTTATTAAACTAGGTCTCTCAGTTTAGGTAGTTTTTAGTTATTTGTTGTTATAAAAAAGACTCTGCAAGGAGTATGTATGTTTGGGCTTATTTGTAAATACTTCTCTATGTTGAAATGTTGCATGGAATTTCCGGCTAAAGGAATATTAAGAATTTTCAAAGTTATTGTGCCTTTATTAAATATATATTTGTAACTTTATAATATTTAATTTTAT